TAGGGAACCGGCTTGCAGAGAGAAGGTCTAAGCTGTGTTTGCAGGAAGCGTTTTCTGTTGGTTTTCTAATACTGAGGGTAACAGTGATGCGGAAAGATTTATTTGGTGGTTTGGGTGTGCGCTTTGGAGGATTTGGGTGGATTGCAGCCTGTGGTCTACTCTCAGCGTGGAAGCTGGAATAGGTTTCAAAGAGTTTCTTTTGTTGCTTTTTATTGGTTAGTTTGCTGTCTCATTGAGTCTGAAAATATAATATGGGTGGAAGAAGTAAAAAGGGCCTTTGCTTATAGAACAGCCAAGTGTGCTGTACACGGAGCGTTCAGTGTTGCAGATTCACTGTAGTTAAGAGGAAAGGAGTATCTAGCTATTACTTTAATACTTTTTTCCTTGAATTGAGAGCCTTTGCAAAGAAGTAGGAGAATAAGGGTTGTGGCTAGTGGTTGTTAATTGTATGCAAAATGATACAGAGAAGGGAGGAGAAACATTTTTTGAGAGGTAAGACTGCTATGATCTGCTAAAAGAAGAAGAAAAAAGCCTGCAGATGTGTCTGTTCCTGATTTCCATAAAGGCGTGTGGGATTTCTGTGATTTAGAAGCAGATCGGGTGCAGTGCCCGCTACCAGCCCTATGAAAGCAAGAGCTGTACAAGTTGCTGTATCATCTTGAAAAGGTTTTGTTTTGATTAACTTGGTTCTGTGCCACACAAATGCGGCCAGATTGCATGAGGAGCCTAATAGCCTTCAGGGTTTTTGATTTCTGAGCTTGTGATCTCTGTCTTGGCCAGCTAAGGAAAGTTCCTGGGGTGAGCTTAGGGATGCTCTTCATCTCTGTATAGGACCTTCCGTGTTAACTAATTGTTACTTAATAAGTGACACGTGACAGTGTTTATTTTTTTTCCTCTTGGAGCACGTGCCAAACCCATCAGTTGATGCTCTAACGATACCTTTTTGTTTGCCTTAGAACTGCAAAAAAAGGCTCACAAAAGGGCAAGCAGGAAGAAGAAAAGAAGAAGCAAGTCAGGAGGTGGCGGCGGCCGCTGATGGGCAAGCCGGTGGATGACGTGTACTTGACGTGGTGTTACGAGCGGCCATCCTACGATTTGGAAGAAGCTGTGGGGATGCTAAAGAAATTTCAGGAGCTGGACTTCACTCACCCCAAACAGTTTGTCTACATTAACGTGTTCCTAGATATGGCGCTACAGAAGAATGTAGGTTGGAAGCAGATATAAATTCTGATGTTTTTTTCTTTTTAACATGGGAAGGCTGCGTTTGAAGTGCAGAGCGGATGCTGCTGTCGGCCGTCCCAGCTGCTTCTTGGAACTCCTCTGGTTGTCAGAATAATCTGTGCTTTTGCAAGTGGATTTGTGTCTTGATACACCTGTAATTACTCAACATCCCTCATACTCCTGAGGTTAAGGTAGCACCATCGAGGATTTTGAAAACAGGCCCTTTATGTGACTAAAATTCGTGTCTGAACAGGCCTGATCAAGCTCAGCTCTCCCCTTTAAGAAGCGGTACTGGAATCGTGTTTGTGTTTTGTTCAGGGATGGTTGGTACAGGAAGAAGTGTCAAGACAAACTTCTTCCCACTCAGTCTTTAACTTTGCTCTGATTTATTTATTTTTTAAATCATGTTCCTTGCAGGTATGCTATAGCTTGTTTGACTGTGATGTTTTTAATTTCAAGGTGTCTAGCCCGGTTTGGTCTTTCC